CGGAACGTCAACGTAGACTTCGACGATCTCTCCTCGACTTCCTCACGGACGTTCTGCTTGGTTGGTAGCTGTCGAACTTGTTCCTCTCGGACTCAGTGATCTCAGGAGGTGCCGATTCCACCGACACCGTTGAGGTATGAGTGAGATGGTTGTTAGAGTAGGGATGCTGCATAGCCCCATAACCAGCTGGCTGCACAGGCTGGCCGGTTGGGTTGAATAGATTAGCTTGTTGGAACTGCCCGGCTTGATGATACCTGCTGCTGCTGCTTGTCGATTGACTGACACCAGGGGTCAAGTAGGGCTGTGGGCAGAAGGCCTGGAATGGCTGATACATGCTGATGACCGAGAAAAGGTACTAGTTGCTGAAACCACCCGAGCTAATATTGAAGGAGACTACAACACGAAACTGGAGTAATAGTTCACAACACGGATATCAAATCCCATAACTTCATGTAGTAGACCTCAAATAATCGTCAGTACGCCAACATTCAACAACATTTTCAATATAAAAATATATTTCCAATCATCCACCGAACGACGACGGAATGCTGAAATCTCAACCGCTTCATTTAGCGTGATCAACTTAGTAGTAGGACTGCTGACCATAACTGTTGAACATTTCCGCCAAGGACTTCTGATTGACACCCTGGTCCGGTGTCGGAGAGGACATACGCTGATCATCACGATGCTGCTGCTTCTGTTGGGCCAATTGCTGTACCTGATACCGACTCAAGCTCCCAGGAGGGAGATCATGAGTAGAGATCGACGTATAGATGTGGGCCGGTTCCGGATCATAGGCAGTGCCATCAACACGCTCATGGAGCCGTTCAATACCACCCTCGATGCGAATAGTCTCCAACTGGGTAGTTATCGTTCGCTGTTCACCAGTGACCGTCTCCTCTCGAGGAATCTCAATGTACCGCTCGACCGTCTCGATCTGAGGTACCTCGACGACCTTCTCGACCGTTTGAAACACCTCCTCCTCAATGATCTTGTCCTGGTACTTCTGGACCCTCTGAGGAACCTTATGCTCCTGGATAACGTCCACGTACTTGGGGACAACCACATCTTGAGGAATATCAACGTATTCGATCTGCGGGACCTCGACGTACTTCTG